GTTCTCTGAGCCTCCTGGGACCTTTTAGTGCAACTTAAACGTTCCTGGGGGAGAGACGTCCCTCGGCCTGGTGATTCCTTTTCTGCTGCTGACTGAGCTCCGGTGGGGCCGGTGCGGGCTGGAGGCAGGACGTCAGGGCCACGGGACACGGTGGCTTCCAGAGGGAGCCTTGGGCTGGCCCTTCCAGAGAGCCTGTTCCCTCTGCTTCCTTGGAGATTCGGAGAGTTTCCTTATCAGATGAGATGCCAGTTTCAATTGCAAGATGTGGGTGTGGTAATTAAGTAGGGTCCTCCTTTAAAGGGGAGGAACTCACACACAAGGTTCCATTTCTATGCATCATCTCTTGAGGAGAGAATTTTCTGGAAGGCAAGAAATGTCAGCGTGCCATAGAGCTACACGCGTTAACAGTTAGCTGCCACCATGATGACGATGACGACGGCAACGTGCACCCCTGCACACTCACCAGGGCAAGGCCGGGCGGGTACCTCCGTGCCCTCACTTCACAGATAAGGAAACTGAGGCACAAGGCATGAACCGGCTCAGGGTCACAGAGGGAGCAAGTGGCAGAGGCGGGCTGACAGGGACCGACATAAACTTTCTGCGGGTTCGTCTCTTCCTGTGTCAAATGTGTGAAAAATCATGTACCTGTCAAAGTAAGAAACGTCCAAACTCGTAGAGGATTTTTATGAGAGTTAATTTGAGCCCAACCAATACCATATGCCGGCGAGCAAGATCTCAGATGCTCCCAGATGGTCTGAGGTTTGCAACTTCCTTTATGCATTCGAGATCAGGGAGGGGAGTAAGGGGGGCGAGAAAAAGCGAGGCCGGGATCAATGACAGGGCAGCTGACAAGGTCCTGTGCTCTCTTGAGGGTTCACACCCCCTTCGGGGGGCATCACTTCTGGCATCGCAAAGGTGTGTTAACCCAGACGCACAGGGCCGGCTTAAAACCTTCTCACGCAGTTACGTGTCTGGGATGTGGCCGCCCGCCCTGACCTGCCCAGGTAGGAATTGATGATCAGATCACCCCGTGAGGCCACCTTTCATAGAACTACTTTGTCTTTGCTCACAGGGCTGACGGAGGCTTAGATGAGTCAGCACGTGTGACACGCCTGGCCCAGGCCTGCACAGGGTACATGCTCGGCAAGCATCGCCACTGTCGCTGTCTTGGCCCAAGAGTGCCTTCCCAGGCCTGAGGTCCCGGTCCCCTGGACCAGGAGCCCGGTGAGACTCCATGGCGGGGCCTGCGAGGTCACCCTCTTGCTGTCTCCTCTTTGAAGGGCTGGCTCCAAGGCAGCCTCCACGCGATGGAATTTCGCTTTAAAACGGTCCCTCCAACATCGTTCCTGGGGGCGCTGATAAAGCCTCTGCCAGCCCTGGACCTTTATTAGGAGCCTTTATGAGGGTGTAGAGCAAGACCCTCGCCTCGCAAATCTGTTCCACGCCTGGCCTGGGATGGTTGGCCAGGTCCCCGAGGGGGCTATCTGTGTCACCTGGTAGCCATCCATAGGAGGAAAGCGAGAAAACCAGATGGCGCCTTTTGGGGACGTTAGGCCTGGGCTCTGCATCTCCTCCAGTCTCTGCTGCTCTCACCTGCACAAAGTGGGTGAAAGGGCACCGGGCCTCCCAGGTGTGCACGCTTATCTATGAGTCACCGCCCCAGCAGAAGCGGCCGTGGCCCCAGGAGTCTGAGGCCGTGGGCGTGGAGGTGTGGAGGTGCTGGCAGGGTTCCCCAGCCTGGCTGCTGTGCTCTGCCTGTGGGAACCAGAGCGGCCCCATTGGTGACTTTGCTGAGCCCTGCCTGGTGGGAACACGACTTCCTGTTTGATGCTTCTGGAGCTGTTTTCCTGGGGTTCCGGCGGACATGAGGAGCTCCAGTCCCTCCCCAAAAGCCCTGGATCATCGGCCTCGCTCCCTGACCGCGCCCGTCCCCGACGCCTGCACCGCATGGAGGAGCCACTCCAGTCGCCCCGGGACTGACCCTGGTCACCAGCAGTGTGGACTTAGGGAATCTAGAGACATTGTTCACTCAAAGAGGGCTGACTGCATGCCTGCTGTGGGCCAGGTGGGGCAGTGAACGGTGGGCGTTTGTATGTTAGTGAATAAAACAGATATACGTGCCCCCCCCACCCCCAGCTGGCAGTCCAGTCGGGGAGGGAGGCAAGTGACAAAGAGACACACATGTGCTGACACCAGGAAGACGACAGGGAGCAGAGACAGGGACCCAGCGGAGGGGCCTCCTGAGAGGGGTGGCCCAGGCAGCCCCATCTGAGCTAGTGACACGTACCCACAGCAGCCAGACTCGTGGTTAGTGACGGAGGTGCCAATCTGGCTCAAACCCTTGTGCCTAACCCCTGGGCTGTCTGGCATCTCACTGTCTCTCTCACACCGTCCTTCTCTGCCTCACCCCACACTGCTCTCTCTTGGCACACGCTGGGCCCGGCTGGCAGGTTTTGGGTGGCACAGTCTTGAGCCTTGGGCCATACAGTCCGGGGGAGCAAGCTGGGGCGGAAGGTTGGGAGGCAGTGCTCGCAGGGGGCAGCCGCAGAGCCGCGGGAGCTGGGTGAGGCCAGGGTGGGTGCCGACCCGTGGGCGGCTGGGTTAAGGGGAGGCCAGGCGAGCAGGTGCTCGGCAGCCCCTGGGGGACGTCCTCACTGCTAATGGAGCAGCAAAGTGTTCCTGTGACAAAGGGGACAGACTAACCTGGGCGGGCCCGGCAGGCAGCCGGGATGGGACAGTGAGTGCCGGTGTGGCCGCAGTGTCCCACCAGCTCGGAGGCGGGTTGCGGCATGCCTGTGACCGCCCGCCGGGAACAGCTGCGTCAACAGCCTGCGAGGGAGCATTCGTGCCCCGCAGACAAGGACGCAGGTGCTTTTTTCCATTAGCCGAGTGATGAGAAGCTAGTCCGGCTGTGTTCTGCCTTAAGTGTACATGTCACCCAACCTGCCATTTTACGCTTCCCCTTTGGCACACTACCGAAGACCCTGCTGTCGCCATGGGCGGCCGCCCCGCCCGGGGGTGCTGGTGCTGCAAGAACAGGCTGCACCCCAGGTCTCGCTTCTGCCCAGGCACCCCTGACCCCAAGGCCCGCTTCTCAGACCTGGTGCGGAAGCAGCAAAAGCAAATGAGCCCCCGCTCTGGGGCCACACGGTGCCAGCGATAATCGTCACATCCGAGGGCAGCGCCACCCCTTCCCGGTGTCCACACCAAGCAGCTGTCCTGTGCCCAGTGGACAGACCCGGACAGGTACACAGGGGCCTTTGGAAAGCCCCAGGGCACAGCGGCCAGGTCCACGCTGGCCACGTTGTCATGTCCATCGACGCCAAGCTGCAGAGCAAGGAGCCTGTGACTGAGGGTCTTCGCAGGGCCAAGTTCAAGTCCCCTGCCTTTCCTTGCCCCAAACCCAGACACCCTGACTCCCCTTTTTCTTCCACGGATCACGTGGGCAAGAGGTGGGGCTTTGCTAAGCTCGTCGCGGAGGAGTTTGAGGACGTGGTGGCTGAACATCGGCTCCCCCCAGACGGCTGTGGGGACGAACCCCGCCCTGATCGTGGCCCCCCGGGACACATGGTGGCCGCACTCACGAGTCTTGGCCCAGGTCGCACGCTGCTCGCTGGGGCTGGGCCTGGGGTTCACGGCCAGGTCTGGCTCGGCAGCCCCCAAGCTGTGCTGCTGACCGCAGCGGACTTTTCCGAATCTGCTCGGTATTCCGAGCGTCCGGACGTAGTGAGCGAAGGGACGCAGAAGGCGGCTCCCGTCTCGAATGTTTTACCAACTGCACGTGGAACAAACGGCCACAGGAGACGGTGCGAGGCTGGCGCCACTCAGAGGTCTGGGTGCGCTGCGGCTTGAGGGACGTCATTACAAACCTCCGGCTGGGGGGCATCAGATGGGGTGGGGCACCCCACGTTCTGAGGTTGGGTCCCACCACCCCTCCCACCCCAGCATCAGGGAAGCTGCAGCCAACGCGTCAGCTCCAGGACCTCGGAGAGCAGCAGGACTGCGCCCTCTGCTGCACACAGGGGGCATGACAGGGCGGGAGGGCCCAGCGGGGCCAGCATCCCTCCTGGGTGCCTGGGAACCTGGGGGAGAGAGTAGGGAGAAGCCGGCAGCCTTGGGGGCAGTGCTGTCTTCATTTTCTGATTTCCACCTCACAGGGATGACTCCCAAGAGACCCTCGAAGGAATCTCACTGTAGAAAGTACTGGAGTTTGATAACAGGCTTCGCTGTGATACTTGAAGCCTTGACTATTCCCTTAGAAGGTGGCCCTGCCTGTCAATGACGTGGAACCCTGGCCGGGGTGGCTGAGCCCCCTCCTCCCCTGCATTCCCCCCCGCCGCTCCCTGGGCACTCAGGCTCCGGGCCCGCCCTCCTGCCCCGGGTGAGCTGCCCGCCTGACCGCCCCGAGCGGACCTGGGCGGCCTCAACCACTGCGGCCCAGTGGCTGCTTTCAGGACCGAGTTCACACCTCCCCGCTGCCTCCGCGGCCTCCCAGCACTTGCTCTCAAGCCCCACGACCCCACACCGCCCTCCCGGCTCCGAGTGCCCCTGGCCGGAGTGCCACCCCCTGCACTGACCCTCCTTTCCTGCTGGACCAAGCGGAGCAGAAGGACAGAGCAGGGTCTGGGCCCAGACTGCCTGGTTTGAGCCAGCGAATTGCTCCAGACAGGTTGACTGGATTACTCGGAGGTGGAATTCGCTCATGTTTTTGTGCATCTTGCCCAGAAGTGGAATCTAGACCACGTCTCTCCTGGCGTCAGCTCCGGGGACGCCGGCCGGCCCTGCCTTCTGCGGTGGGGGGTGGCGGGGGGCCAAGCCCAGCAGCCCATCTTCCGCACCAAGCTCTGGCCGTGGGAGGGCCGCGTGCGACTTTGCTCCGACTCCCGGCCTCCCTGGCCCGGGCGGCCGCTGCTGACGGAGGATAAGCTCAGACACGGCGCTCAGGCCAGAGCAATCCCCAGCGGGCACTCGGCGCGTTGCCATGGCACGCAGATGCAGTCTTCATGGAAAGTGGAGTTTATTTGTGCATTTCTGTGCACGGCTCCAGGGTCAGCTCAGACATGGAGCGATCTCGACACTGTTTATCCGGAGAACGGTCTGCGGGGCCACGATAACTGGGGGAGAGACGGGACGTGGTCACAGGCTGACTGCAAATTCTGACCCAGCTAACGGGCTACTGCGAGATCCCGCCACTGGCCGCCCGCTCTCTCCACAGGGGCTCTGCCTCGCACCAGCCCTCCCTGGACGGCACTGGTACCCCAGCAATGCCCCACGTGGCTCCCGCCAGCCACGTGCGGTGAACACTGTGGTGTGTGCCAGGCCCACTTGCTCCATGAGCCCCCGTAGAAGCTGCAGCGCCCGGAGGCCTGGTGGCCAGGACAGCCCTTGCCGTGGCCCCAGCCCTCTTCCCCAGTGCCCGCTGAGACCCCGGGCTGTGGCGGTGAACAGCCCCATCGGGCCGACCATGAGGCTTCCGGCCTGGGTCTAGGTGAGGGCAGCATCACCATCTCAGCTACACCTGAGTCACCCCCGCTGTTGGCAGTGTGGCCAGCAGTTACTGCTGTGACCGAGGATCAGGGGCGACACCCATTTTGGAGAGGATTTTATAGCCTGCAGGGTTCCAGCCTGGAGGAGCCCTGCCTCATGGGGACTGTGACACCCAGTGGAAGCCCCTGGAGGACGGCCCCTTCCTGCTGTGGACTGGCTGGGCAATGCTGGTGGCCACAGACTGGAACGAAGACGGTAACACGTGGGGGGAGGAGGCGGGGCCGTGCCCCGTCCAGCTCGGGAGGCGGGACGTGGCCAGTGGCGGCCGGACTGAGGCTCGCCTGGGGCTCCCTGCCTTTCATCCCGTCCGCCTGCCACCCTCTGGCCCTCTGTCCTGGATGCGTGGAGGCTAGGCCCCACCCCCGGGAGCTGGGAAGGGAGGTGCAGACCTGTCCTCACTCACCTTCCTGACCCCGCCCACCAAGGGTCGCGTCTTCTCCAGCTACCTATTTCCTCAGCTCTTCTGAGGCCCGGACCAAAATGCCGCCAATGAAGCTAACGGCCGCGGCCGGCCCCGCCGAGCCCTTCTACGCTCGCTCTGGCTGTCCTTCCTCCCTACATGGCTTAGGACATGTCATCCAGCACGTGTTAGTGACTGTCTCATCCTCTCATCCCCTGTGGCACTTGCAGACCCAGCATCTGAGCAGCACCCTGGCTGAGCCGCCTGCCCCCCCACTTCTGAGCTCCCCCCTCCCCGCCTCCAGCCCCTCCTCTCCTTCCAGAAGACCCCTGGCTCCCTGCCCACCTCAGTGAAGCCACGGACACTCGCTGCTGCCCTTGTTACCAACTCTTTCCGCCCAGACGCAGGCCTGTCCCCGCCCCCCAGGGCCGGGATGGGGGGGCCACCGTCTGAGGCCTCCTCGCTCCGTCCACCAGCATCCAGCCACCTCTGGCCTCTCCCTTCTCTGACAAGCAGCGCAGCCCTGGCCACCTCCGGTGCCCCTCCTCCCAGGCCTGGAAGACCCCCAGACTGCCCTGTCCTCCAGGCTCCAGGGGGCGGCCCTCCTCCACTTAAAAGGGACCGGCCACCTCCTGGCCCATCCCTGACCTCAGGCCCTTCCTGCCAGCCTCTTCCACCACCCCCACGGCTGCTGTGCTCGCTGTCCGGGCCTCACGCCCAGCGCAGTCTTCTCTCTCGAGGATTTGATGCAGCGCAAGGGACACGAGAGCACACAGGGCAGACACGTGCGCGCCAGCCGACTGGACGAGGAGCCCGCGAGCCGGCCCGGCACGCCTGCCCCCATGCCTTTCACCAGTGCCTGGCCGTGTGTGTGTGAGCGAGTGTGTGTGTGTGAGTGTATGTGTGCGAGTGTGCGTGTGTGTGAGCGAGCGTGTGCGTGTCAGTGCACGCGGACACGTCTGTGCGGACACGTCTGTGTGCCCAGCAGTGTGGGCTGAGTCCGCTCGCCTTTAGGTTCTGTGCGGTGGTGTCACCCTATGCCCACTCCAGGACCGGCCCCCTGCTGGCCAGGGAGTGGCCCGTGCGTGGACAGAGTACCTCCCCCCGTTCCTGTCCATCTCTGGGGTGGACGTGCGAGCTGCTTCTGGTATTTTCCAGCATGAACGAAGCAGCTATGGCTGTCCCTGATGTGTCTCACGGAGCATGCCGTGTGGCGACCGGCCGAGCCCCGGGTGTGGTGCGGGACCCAGGGGACCGGGTGTTGGTCCGACTGTACCCGGCGGCAGGACGCAGGGTCGCGCCCGGAGTCGGAAGGGACCGCAGGGCCAGCCCCGCTGTCTCCAACTTACTTTTTTTCTTCTTGTAGTTTTTCCTTTTCTTAAATTTCATGTTGACTCTTGGCCACGATTCTGTCTTTTCAATGACTGTGGCTTCTACTCGAACGAGATCCTTTCTGATAGGGAAGAGAAGAAACGACATGCCTTCCTGACCATTTTCCAGTTTTCCTAATGCTGTGTGTCAGCCTTCCCAAAATGAAGTTTTACTTTCTTTCGTGTTGATTGTAATATGCCCTCCCTATAGATATTTTGACTATAGCTCGAAGGAACATGATAAGGAACAGAAGTCTGACCCTGGTCCTCACAGGGCCACCTCGGAACGGATCAGGAATAGAGCCAGGTTTTGGTCTGGGTGTCCTCCACATGGGGACACTCAACATCCACCATTATAAAGTGTGAGCCTGCCGTGTGTGGCGTTGGTTGATACTAGTGTGGCCCCTGCCTGGCCTCGCTGCCCGGGACCCCAGACAAAGCCCCGCCTCTGAGAGCACATTACCCGAGAAGTGGCTTGCCAAGCAACGTGAAGTCGTCAGCCCCGACCAGCAGAACCTGAAAGATGAGATGGGCACATGAGCGGCAAGCGATGCAGATGTTGCGAACAACAGATAGTGACGCTGGACGGTGAGAACAGCGCGGGTTACAAGCTGCGACACAGACTCGATCTGCCATCTCGCTAATCACTCCCTTAACGTGAAACAAACTTTAAAGGGCTCGAAGTGCTGTCCTGTGGAAATGCCCGGGCTGTCGGAGGCAGGATGGGTAAGACTGATTATCTGGTGTGCTGGTCACACGTCAACATAGGCGTGTTGACCTCCGATGAAAACAGTGGCTTTTCATTATAAAAAGAAACTTCCTCTTGAAGTGTAACGTACATGGGGGAAAATGCACCCATCAGACCACGGTGTCTTTTGAAGCGGGTCACGGACGGCTACGATGGCGAGAGGTCAGGTCTATGTGATGACCGCAACGTTCCCTACCGCCGGGCCACCGTTTTCGGTCTGGCAGAAACTGTGGCACTCAGTGTGGACACAGATGAAGACGCCTTTGTATACCAAGTGTGACGGAGTTTTTTAGATGTTAGAAGAGTGCCTTGAATTTTATTGGCAAGAAAAAAAGCCAATCATACTAAACTTACAGGCCTAGGGACAAAGCACGTTTGTAACGCCAGGGGACCACGTGCATTAGGTGATGACAAGCAATAAATGGACTGTTTAAGAGTTACTTTCAGCGTGAGATGTTCTCTGCTCCTGGACTTCCTGAGTCACGAAAAACAATCTGCATTAGATGGGGCTTCCTGTACTGTTTGTCACTGGGAAAAATTTTAAAACGATGTCTTTTTGGAAATCTTCATATACACATGCACACACACTGCTGCGGTCCCTCGTTTATTCTGGATGTTCAGAAGTGAATGTGCTCTTGTTCCTGAGCTCATGACAGAGCCCCTGACGTCATCATGAGGAGACCCGCTGGAGGCTGACGTCCTACATGGCTAACCAGCCCCGCTCTGAGCCAAGTACACAGTTGTGTTCAGACCGCAGGCGGGGAGAGGACGGTCTCAGGAACAGCGCTAACACGCAAAAACTCCACATACACAGAGGAGCTGTTTTAACTTATAAAATCACATACGTCACGCTACATCATACTAACAGCTCTATGTATCCCAGAAAAACAGATGGACACCCCGAAGACAACAAACAGTGCAACCGAAGGGCAGACGTGCCTCTAAGCAGACAGGGCAAGCCGTGTGTGGCGGTCAGAGAGATGACCGCGGGCAGGACAGTGTCCCTGGACCTGCCCTCACCGCTTACACGTAGCAACGGCCGGCAAGTCTGACGTCAGAGCCGCGTTCCGGCTGAAACTCAACTTTTCCCGCATAAACATGGACTCAAAACACTCTTTACATCCTTGGCTGGGACTTTTATTATCTCTGCCGCCGAATATTTTTCTGTGGGAATCGGTGAGATGTGAGGTGACCGATGGACACGTGCACCTCTCCTCAGAGAACCGTGGGGACTGTCCCTGTGCGCAGTGACCCTACTGAGTCGGGGGCTGTCCTTGAGGCGGCCGGCCCGCTGTGCCACTCACTCTCCCGCCCCCCGGCCCCTGCGTGGTCACCTCCGACGTGAGGAAACCTCCCCAGTGACGACCCGGGGATCGGGGACCACACGGTTGGTGACTGAGTCCCCGGACACACAAAGAAACCGCCTCACCTTCTCCAACCGAATCCTCTCTCCACATGCGACGTCTAATGCATTTTCGATTAAAATCAGGTCTTCGGCGGTCACCTTCCACTGGTGGCCGGCAAAGTGCACCACAGCAAAGAGCCGGCCGTGCTGGCCCGTGGCGATCAGCTCGTTCACCTTCTGCACGACCTCTGCGGGGCGGAGAGGCCAGACGGGGCATGGGGCGGTCAGGCGGCCACACGTCCCTCGCTGGGCAGCGGGCCAGCCCTGAGAAGCGGGGGCCGTTCTGCACACAGGGGAACCCGGAACGACACCCCGTGGGCCTAGGCCCCCTGCACGCCCCCTCACATCGCGACCCCCTCCTTCTGGACTATTTTTGTCTGGACAGTGTCACTGGGGCTAGGGACAGGGAGGACACACCCAGTCCAGGCGGAAGCCTGCGGCCCATGTGTCTCGCACGTCCCCTGGAACAGCATCTTAAACCCAGATAACCCCAGGCATTGGTCTGGGTCTCCAGCTTTCTGGGGGAACTCAGGACCCTGCAAGCCCTCATGGTGACACTGTCCATGGCGACTGCAGGCCGACTGCAGGCTTCCCCGCTGGTTGTCACGCACACTGCATTCTGCTCTTCCACCTGGGGAGAAGTCTCTCCCCGAATCAGGTGGCCCGAGCGCCCCTTCCCTAGCCTGCATCACCTGCTCGAACACGGCAGGTGGTCGAGGGGCATCAGCCAAATGCACGAGGGCTTTCGACTCTGGTGCGAAGTGGCAAAAGCGAGCGTGAGCGTTCACACCGAGGCACGCGAAGCCCGCGTTCTGCGGCCGGGTGACGGCCCGTGGGGGCGGGTGCTGCTGTCCTTTCGCTCTGCCGCTTACCTGCGTGGTGTCTGGTCTCCTCGGCTGGGTCTGGCAGAACGACTTCTGGCCAAGGCGGTGAACTCAGGGATGTTTTAGGGACATATCTGTGGTAAAAGTTATTTTGCACACGCGTCACATGTGTGCGAAGGCAGTTCAAAATCTTAAGAAATGGCTGTACGCAAAACGTAAGGACATGGACCTCCCACGTTACCCGTTCCCATTCCCGTCTCGGGTGCTGGCTGGGGCAGCTCCCTTACGGTCGAAGCGAACTCTGTGCCCGTGATCTCAGGAGGCTGGTGTTGGGAGGGGACCGGCGAGCCTGCTGCTAGTGCCACGTGACTCAGGGCAATGGTGGCGCTGGTTCCCCGGTGCAGACCCACCCTGAGGCATGACGCTGAGGACAGCCCTCCCTGCACCCCAGAATGGCCACATATCTGAGGAACAATGGCTGATGCTTCAGTAATCAAAACGGGAATCCTAAGCATTCTTTTCCCGAAGAACTGTCCCTGGAATAACTGTGGGTCCTGGGCTGGTGGCCTACCCAAGGGGGATGCTGGGTCACAACCCTGGCTCTGCCGCCGACAAGGACATGACCTTGGCAAGGATTTAATGACTCTGGGTCCCGGTTCCTTTCACTGAGGAAGTGGGAACAGAAGCACCTGCCCTCAGGGCTGTGGCAGGATCGGAAGGGGTCATGTGTCCAGCAGGACTTGGCAGAGTGGGGACGCGGTCGGCTCAGCGCCCTGGGGCAGCAGCGCCCCCACCGCCATTCTGTCCTGTGCCATGGTCATCTGTCCGCCTCCGCCCACCTGGGGGCGCCAAGCTCAGTGTGGCCAGTCTTCTCCATGCAGTAACTCTCTGCCCTCCGCTTGGCCTGGTGTAGAGTGGGGTGGCTGGCGGGAGGGACAAAGAAAGGGAACCTGGGCTCCCCTCAAAAGGAGGTGGAGGGGTCCTAACTTTCTATTTCTGTCTTGAATTCCAGAAGTCCACAAACGGGGGGGATGTTGGTAGAGTCCAAATAGAATTTTTCAGAACAGTTTTTAAGCTTTCATTACTGTTTGCCACCAGAAAGTGACATTTTCTGCCTTGTTCACTGGCCCTGGGAACGTGCCCGACACAATCTGGGAACTGGGTGGAGGCTTCCCACGTTGAGTCGATGTGCCAGAATATTACATGGCGCCGAGCTCATCCCCGCACATCCAGACCCTGGGATGTGGCAGACCCCGGGACCCCCGAAAAGAACAAGGGTGAGAAAGCCGGAACCGGTGGTAGGCAGAACCTTCCACGGAGGATGCACGGAAAAAAGCCAATGAACAAAACACCCACTTATGATTTCCCTCTGAGTCCTGACTCAGGGTTTCGACGTGCCCTTTGAGAAACAAAGACCCCCATCCGCCCCTGCCACGGGGACCCTGGTGCTGCAGCCGCGGCACGCTGGGTGCTCTAACCCGTGCGGGGTGCAGTCCTGGGCTCCCTAAGTGCAGACCTTTGCTCGCTTCTCATGGGGCCGCCCTGACTGGCGCTCCAGTCCCACCTTGCCGGAGAGGAAGGACGCAGAGCCCCGAGTCAGGGCCCGGCTGCTGGCTGCAGGGTGGGGGCAGGGCCCTGCCCCACTGTGACCGCCACCCCGTTCCCCGTTCCACTCCCGTCGACCAGGTGACTCTGTCAAACTGACCTAGTAGTCACAGTAGCGTTTTTTCCCTAAGTATGAGCTTCTAATACATTCCATAGCTTCTCCTTAGAGGTTCTGATCCCGCCTGCCTTCCCAGTTAGAAGTCTGTTTGGAGCTAAAACGTTCCCTTAATAAAACACAGCTATGTAAGGCCTCGGAACATCTCGCTCTTTGAAGTTCTATGTTTATGTCAAGGGTCTGAGAAAGACTATCAAAAAAGTTCAGAGAAAACATAAATATTCCCGAAAACTCAAAAGGCTGAAGTTTTAGAAAGACAGTCCTACCAACGACAGGCAGAGAGTGTCCGGAACCCGCGTTCGGATCTTACCTTTGTGGCAATGGAGGGCTCTGCGATCCGGACCCGCGAGCAGACCACAGGGAGGCTGAGGGGGTAAGGGACACACCGGCGGTTACTACAGCGAAACGCGCCCCGCCCCCACGGTGCCGACCGCACAGCTGGAGCCGGCATGGGATTAACCCGCATCGTAACTTGGCCACAGAAAATCTAAGTCAACGAAGCTGAAAGGATGTCACTTATCGTCACTGGTTATTGCTGTCGGCATGGAGATTCGTTTGTCACACCATCTCAAACGGCCTAAACCCGATTCGCCACCCCCGAGCACAGTCCTCGACCAGCAGACTCTCGTGCCCAGGTGTGGGGACAGCTTTGGAGATGGTGTGCAGAGTCCGCCTTCTGGTATTCTCGGCCCCGTGCTGTCCCCCCACATGGAGTGGGTTTCTGTGACCAACGGCACGTCGGAGGTCAGGGTGGGAAAGAACGCGGAGGCCCGAGGAGAGGACCCAGTGCCTGCTGCGACGGGAGAGCCTGCCCGCCGGACCTCGGCCCGGCTGGAGTCCTGAGGTGACGCGGCCCCTGCCGATGGCCTGACCGTGCCCTAACGGGACCCGGAACCAGAACCACCCAGCTAAGCTGCTCCTGTCTCCTGACCGTCACGCACGCTGGGAGGTAATAAACGTTCGTTATCTTAAGCTGCTCAGTTTTGAGGTACTTTGTCATGCGGCGGCAGACACTAATCCACTAGGTGACAACAGCACTCACGGTCCACTGAGGAGAGAAGGGCTCAGAAACAAGACACGCAGTGCCTGCGGGCTTAGGGGCTGAAAGCAGAGGGCGGATTTTTCAGTAACTATCACTAATATTTTTTAGTTGACCTATAATTTATCCACCATAAAGTTCACCCTTTCAAAGCTCTCCCAGGAGCACCTGCTCCTGTTTCCGGTCTCCTCGACTGGCTTCTCTCTTTCACCTTGCTGTGCCCGAGGTTTACGTCTTGAATCTCCTCACCTCTATGTATCTCCGCTGACTGCTTCTAGTCGAGTGGACTTAAACGTGGACTATACACTGGTGACTCCCAAGTTTACACCTGCAGCCTGGACTTGGGAATCTACCTGTCTATGTGCCACCACCACCTGCATGTCTAACAGGCATCTCAAAACCCAAGAAAGGCCCCTGACCTCCCACCCTCCTCCCCAACTCACATGTGGCAATCTCGTCCCTCCAGTTGCTCAGGCCACAGAGGTTGAACCTTCTCTCTCACACCCCTCAGCCGACCTATCAGCCAGTCCACTCGGCTCTCTCCTCCGAGATCCAGCTCTAACCCTCCAATCATCCAAGCTACCAGCGCCTCCTGCCTGGGTCATGATGAACACCGTGCTCCCCCTCATGCCTCCTTTCTCTGCACGCTGAGCAGCTACAGTGATCTTGTTACCGATTTGCCAAAACTCTCCAAGAGCTTCTCATTTCGTTCTGAGAAATGGCAACGGCCCTGACGGGCCTGCAGGGCAGCGGGCAGCATGGTCCCGTCGCTCCGAGCCCACCTTGCACACGCTTCCCCTTGCTCACTCTGACCCGCCACTCTGCTTCCCTGCTATTCCTGGAACACGCCAGGCACGCACATGCCTAGGAGCCCGTGCCTCGATGGCTCTTCCCGAACCCCTCCTGCCCTTCGGGTATCCCACCCGCAAGACTGAGTCCCTCATCTCTTCTGCCTCTCCTCCACCAAACAACAGCTCGGTGGACAGGCCTTTCTCGATCATCCTACTTGAAATTGAACCCCTCTCCCAACTCATGCTTTATTATTCTTCACAAGGCTTACCAGCTTCTAACATACATCTTCTGCTTATTTTTAAAAACCGCCTGTCTCTCTGCTCACTCCCTCTCCCATTAGAATGCTAGCTAACTCTGTGAAAAGCAGGCGTTATTGTTGTATGTTTACTATTGATGAATCCCCACCTTGGACCAGTGTTTGACACATAATAGGTACTCAATAAATGGTAAAAGGATGAATGACATCTGCTCAGTCATTTGATGGAGCTGCTGTTGGAATTTCCCGTCCCTGGGAACTCAGCATCCTTCTTGGGAGCCGTTAAAAGATCAGTTAGAAAGTTTCTGCACCTGATCTGCTTTCCTGTAACTCTCGCCTATGGTCTTAGCTTAGCCCTGACTGTGACAAGGAACAAAGGTGCTTCCTCCTGTGCCACAGGATCATCCTTTATGTCTGTGATGACCGTGTGTCCTTCCATCCTGTTTCTTTCACTCACTCTCCAAGGTCCCACCAGCTCACCATTTTGGTCATTTTCTCTGTTCTCACTACACTTATCTGTGTTCCTCTCTTTAAAAGTTTGAGTCTGGAATTGAACACGGTATCCTCGAGGTGGTTTTGTCAGTAGAACAGAAGAAGTCCCACTGCTTTTGTAAAAACTTCCCTGCCTACTTAAACCTATGTTTTATTATGGAAAGTGTCAAGCATACAAAACTAAAGAGAATAGCATAGTGAGCCCTGAGTCCTCAAGGATCCCTCCCCAGATTCAACAGTTATCAATTCATGACCAATTTTGTTTGATTTACGCTGCCTCTGGCCCGACTGTGCACTTATTTTAAAGCAAATCAGACACTGTTTTATCAATAAAGATGTCAGTATATTTCTGTAAAAAGACCAGGATTCGTTAATAACAACAAAACATGACTACGACCCTATCACAGTGTCTAAAAAAGAGGAAATTCTTCAATACCGTCAAATATCCACTTGGCCCAACTTAAAAACAAAGAGAAACACTTGTGCACACAAACACACACTCTAATCATTTTCAGGCATAAATTGACAGTGTTTTTAATGAAAATAACCTTTTTTGAGCCTCAAAATAACCCAGTGTCTAAAATAACAGCTGTTGCTTTTCTTGAACGGGTTAAGATTCCGCAAGGCCGCCCATCGCCATTTTCCAGATGAGGACGATGAGGCTCGGAGGGCGGCTGGACGTCTTGGGGGGGCTTAGTAAAGCACGGGTTTCTGTGCAGGTGGCAGCTGTCTGCATCCCTCCTCTCCCACTTCCCCGTTCTGTGACCCTGGGCAAGGCACCTAACCTCTCTGGGCCTCGGTTTGCTCCCCTAGTAACGCAGGGCCTATAGCAAAGTTGAAGAACTGTCATCAGTATTTAAGCTACTAACGAAAAGAACCAGAATCTGAACCCACGTTTCCCTGACTCCAAAGCCGGTGCTACGTTCACAACATCAAAAAAGGCGCTCAGCACCGAAGGCATCGCGTCGGACACAGACACATGCGGCCAGGGCAGCGGGGGGCACCGCTCGCCCCACTTCTTCCCTTCACCCCGCGGCGCCCGGGTCTCACCCGCTCCGGGACACGATGGCCTCAGGAAGCTGCGGCTGCACGCGGACACCAGCCGCCCGAAGGTGACTGGCAGAGCCGAGGCCGCCACGGCCGCCGCCATCTTCCCGCAGTCGCGGCCGGAAGCGGAAGCGGAAGCGGCGCGAGCCTGGTGCGTCGACGCACCGGCCCGGCGGGGAACACCTCCATGCGCGGCCTCCGGACGCCCGCAGCTCGGGCCCCGGCGCTGGGCTGCAGCGATGTCCTCGGCGGCTGTGGAGAGCTTCGTGACCAAGCAGTTGGATCTACTGGAGCTCGAGAGGGACGCGGAGGTCGAGGAGCGCAGGTACGGACGCCACCCATACTCTCGGGGTCGGTCCGGCCGCTCCCCCAGCCCTGCTCCGCTCAGACCCGGGCGGAGCCTCCGGGGACTCGGCCTGACCGGCTTCGGGAGGAGTTTGCTCTCCTGACCCCCCGAGTCCGGACCGCGGCTCTGGAGGCGCTCGGCTGCCTCCGGAGGGGAACCTGGCCACCTCCCTTCCGTCCCGGGGCAGCCCGTCCGGGTTTTGGACCCTTGGGAAGCCCGTTCTTTTCTCGGCCTGAGGTCCCCCCATCCCTGAACTTTCACTCTTAGGCCCTGCCTCTGCCCCCCCAGTTCCATCCCCAGCGTGTTCCCAGCCCTCTTCCTCGTCGGTCCACTCTGTAAACGTTTGCATCTATTCTTTGTCAGCCCCGAGTAAGACCCAGTGATTTGATAGACACCTGGACCCTGGGTATGAGCAAAGGGGTAGGATAGGCGCGTAAACAGTTCCCTTCGTGGTGACAGCCGCTACCGCGGTGAGTGCCGGGAAAGCGCGGTGGAAGCATGGAGGAAGAACAGCTGACTCTGGGGAAGGTTAAGTTAAGGATGGCTTCAGGGAGGAGGTGGGGTCTTAGCACAGCTTGCAGAAAAATGCGTGAAGGTGGATGCGGGAGGAACAGCATTCCCGGAAGAGATGCGGGGAGGAAGGACGTGCCTGCGTGTGAGGACTAGGGCCAGGAGAGAGCAGGCTTGTTTCGGAACAGGAATATTCATTTGGCTGAAACACTGCCAGCTAACACTTATCGAGGGCCGTAAAAGCGCACCACGTACGCGAATTCCTTTAAACCTCGTGCCCGTTTTATGAAGTACCTTACTGTTATTCTCATTTTATGTCGAAGGCTGACACAGAAAGGCTGCAAATTACTTGTAACTTGCCCAAGGTGATACAGATAGAGTCAGGCCCTGAGGTCAGGCGGCCTGATTCCAGTTTGCACTCAACCATCGTACTACATACATCGATGGGGTTTGTTTGGGAAGTTTTGATCATGACAGCTAAGAGCTTTGCCCCCACACCGACTTAAGTAGAATCCCGCCTCCTTTATTTCTGGCTGCGTGACTTTGCAGGTTACGTCTCTGAGCCTTAGTTACCTCATCTGCGAAATGGGGCCATTCCCACCTCACAGGTTTGCTGTGAGAAGGAAGTGCCCTGCTAAAAGTCAGGTGCTCAGCACGGAATCAGGTGCAGAGTGTGCCCGGGAGAAGATAAGTGGGCGTCGGATTGAGAAGGGCCTCGCGCAGCAGCTCGTGCTGTAGTCCTGTGCAGAGGCTGGTCCTCCGTGCAGCCAAGTAGGTTGGGGGGAGGGGTGAATAGATTTACATTTTTGGAGGATCGCTCGGGTCCTGCTGCTGCCGACCGGAGAGGGAGAGCCCAGAGGCGAGGCGGCCAAGAAGTTCTGGTTAGTCGACTCTCAGTGGTGCCGGCTTGAGCCGGGGCTCTGGAGGGGGCGTGTGAGAGGCAGAGATGGGTGCAGGCTTAAAATGGGAGGGGTCCGATGGGGCTTCATGGCACTTGGGAACCAGCATGTGGGGAGAGAGCAGAGAAGGTGAAGGTGACCTAAGGTTCTTTGTCGGGTGACTGGGAGAAGGGCCGAGGCGTGGCCTGCACTAGGGGAGGCAGGAGGGGCACGTTTGAGAGGGGGAGGTCCAGAATGACGCCGGGTCATATTTAGTGCCTGTGCCCGCAACTTTATTTTTCTCTTCCTTTTACATTCCTCCTGCTTGGGTGGAAGTAAAAACTGGTGGAGTGTGAATATTGACGTTTAACGTTGGTGTCTCCCAGGTCCTGGCAGGAAACTGTCTCTCTGAAAGAGCTCCAGAGCCGGGGCGTCTGTTTGCTGAAGCTGCAGGTGTCCAGCCAGCGGACCGGGCTGTACGGACGGCTCCTGGTCACCTTTGAGCCCCGGAGATGCGTGTCTGCAGGAGCGCTTCCCAGTAACAGCTTTGCTTCCGGTCTGTGCTTTCTGACGTCGGCACGTGACTGAATGTTGCTGACTTCAGACTGTGACTTGTGTTCTTCTAAAGACTGGGTTACAAGTGGCCAGTTGACGTGGGTTGACCTGACCGGGGCTAAGGGGATCACAGGTGTGCCTTTTGGCCTCGCTGTCAGGATTAAAGGCGTAGGATTGAATGTCCGTGCAGGTGGCTTATAAACTCTGAAAACAAAAAGGTGAAAATGCATATTCAGTTAACAAGCGTTGTGGGGTGAACAACCTAAGAGATTGAGGACTAGTTGATAAACAGGAAGTCGGAGGAAGTGGCATTCATGCGGAAAAGAAGCCAGCTGAAAATTTGATGTCTTGCTATAGCTATTGATCAAATTCAGGTGACTCGTTATTATATCTGCTCATCTTCAGAGGAGCAGTTTTAAGGCTCAATACCTTAGAGATATAGATTTTAAAATGTGGGATCCTATTTTAGGGCACTCGTGGGGAAGTCACAGTAGGGATGGGGGTCCCTGTGGCAGGCCCTGCACACAGAACCTGACTTCTGTCCCGAGATCATTGTTGCCACCTTTAAAAGTTGGGGAAGGAGACAAAGAGATTCAAGGTGTGGTTGAAACTCATTGCCCAGAAGAAAAACACCCAGGGCTGAAAACATGCCTGGGTGACGCGTGGTACACGCGTGTGGACACGAGCGGAGTATGGGGTGTAAAGAGGTGCGGGGCCCGGGCTCTCCCAGAGCGGATTCTGTCCATCTCAACTGTCCGCATCCCGGAAGGATCGCGTCAGTTGTGCTGATGGCAGGTCGGCTTCCGGGCCCGAAGGCTGCCACCTGGACTGACTTTGTCCTCATTTCCCGGCTTTGCCCTCTTCCGGGCTGGCCTCCTTCTCAGCACCACGTGGGACCAGTCCCAGCCCCACATCCTCCCGGGGTGCGGGTCCGGTCAGAGCGAGAGCTCCTTTCCCAGGTGCCTAAGCAAAAGACTCGCTGCGTCCCGGGGGCTCTGATTTGGTCCCACACCACCCCTGGACAGTCATTGTGGCCAGTGGCATGCGAAGCACTGATTGGCATGGGTCACGTGCTCCATCCCTGGTGTCAGGGGAGGGCCCTCAGAGTCACCTGGCACGTGGGCGAATCACCGAGCAGTTATCACAGGAAGTGGGGAGAGCCGTGTGGAGTGGGCAGTGAACAACCAGTGTCTCTCCTTCCGTGCGCCACTTCCTCCTGGAACGCGCTCCCCAGATGTGCTCGTGGTCCCCGCTTCATCCAGGGCCCCCCGCCCACCTGTAGCCGCTCGGAGAGGCCGTTATCGCACACTGTCTCCAAGGTGGCACCCCCAGTCGTCTCTGTCCCCTCCCTGGTCCTCATCTTTCCTGCGAGCCCTCAACACTGGCGTCTGCTAGATTGCTGTTCCTTTCTCTTCTTCCTCCCCGGGGGGCTGGTACTGCTTTATTTCCAGTCAGACCAGTGCCTGGCACAGAGTAGGCACCTTAAGTGATTTATCAACTGTCATGTTTGTTTCAAACAGTTAATTGATTTCAAGTCAATATCCATGTATAATTTAGGTGTTTAAAATTTTTTTTACTGCTGCCGATTGCATTTCTAAAGGAAGTAACCCACAACATTTGAGGCGTGCTGGGATTTATTGTATAAAACAATTTACGTTTAACTTTGTTCAGTATTTATGTAACCGAGTCTTTGTTTCTGTAGGTGACATAGTGGGTCTGTATGACGAAGGCGGTCAGCTGGCCACTGGGGTCCTGACTCGGGTCACCCAGAAGTCGGTCACAGTGGCCTTCGATGAGTCCCATGATTTCCAGCTGAGCTTGGACCAAGAGAAATCCTACCGACTGTTGAAACTTGCCAATGACGTCACTTACAAGCGCCTGAAAAGGTGCGTGTGTCCGACTGCAAGTTGCATATAACCTTTTCCTCAAACACAGCTCCGGCCCTTGTGCCCCTGTCTGGGCGGGGGCCGCGGGCGGAGGTGGGGGGCCGGCGCTCCCACATGGAGGGAGCCACTGGTTCCCATTAAACTCACTTCCGTTTCCTCCCCGGGCAGGGCACTGATCACCCTGAAGAAGTACCACTCCGGCCCCGCGTCCTCACTCATCGAGGTCCTCTTCGGTGGCCGCGCCCCCAGTCCTGCCAGCGAGATACGTAAGAACTTTGGCTTTTTCTTTTCTGATTAAAATCGCTGCAGGTATCGAGAACGGCATGACCTTGGGCCATTTTGGCAAGGGTTTGAGAAAGCAGTTAGAAGCCTACCGTCGTTTCTGTGTGTCAGTGTCTGTGAGTGACCCGCACAAACGAGGCTCGCTCCGGTCCTCGGCGTCCACGTTCCTCCTCCGGTCGGTGGTTCCGAAATGTTCTTTCTGGAGCCTGAGTCTGCGTTTTGAGATGCGGAGGGATTTCTTCCCGCTCAGCACTCTGCGCCGATCTCGCTGTGTGCTTCAGACCATTCTGTTTTGGGTTTGAAAACTCATTTGGTGATTTTCTCAGCATCCTCCAGACTGAAGCCAGCTTACATCTGATTGTGAGAGTGATGTGTGTTGATCGTAGAAAACTTGAAAATATGCAGACGAACAAGGAAACAATCACTCTGAAGCCGCTGTTCGGTTCACTTCACTAGTATTCGCGTGCATTTCTAGGCATTTCTGCATCCACATGGAGCGCTGGGTCTGTTTTACATGCAGATGTGTGAACACGCACGGACACGCACACACACGCGCGCGCGCATTCCTGAACACCCTCGTTTTCCAGAGGGCGGTGGCCCCAGCTCGAGCGGCTGCCTGTAACTCGTGCAGTGGGCACTGCCCGTTTTTCCCGCTGGGCTTCGGTCCGCCCCACACCCGCTCCGTGTCGCCCCTGTGCGGCTGCACCCAGCGTTGCGTTGGCTTCGAACACGGCGACTTCGTCATTTGTTTTCTAAAGGCGCGCACGTCTCCATGAGGTTTTGTTCTCGCCACGTATTCGTGGAGAGGCCACTCTGTGCCAGAAACGGAGTTGGGAATGAACTCGCCACGTTTTAGGGAGCGCGGCGTGTCTTGACCGTGGCCGCTGTCTAAGGACAGAGGAATGGGCCGTGGAGTGGTGAGTGGACCTGGCACTGTGGGTTGGGGCGTGACCGCTTCCCAAGGGTGTCACAGCCCCACTCGTCCTGGTCCATGCCCCGTGCCCGTGGGTGCCACCGTGGAGCGGACGCTGCAGCAGCAGAGCCGGCACCTGCCAACGGTCCTGCTCTTGGGGCGCAGAGCCCACGAAGCAACTCGTTAGCTTTGGTCGTGGAAGATTCAGAGCAGAAGCACAATCCTGGCATTTGCTAGTAGTTCCCGTTTATCATTCGTTTTTGTCATTTTATGGGCACTTAGAAAGGGACAGTGTGGTAGAAGCAGACACGTTTCAAGAAACGTCGACTTCAGAAAGGTCTGTGCTGCGGCGTGAGCTGGTAGACGTCGTCAGTGACGGCACAGCCTGTAGGTGCCTTGGGCTCTGCAGGTGGCTGTGGTAGCAGGCGGCCGGGGACGGTGCGTGAGGGGACGCCGTGGCCGTGGCTGTGGCCGGGAGACCGGCCCTCGGAATCGGCTTTGGCCTGTGGTCCTTCGCCTGCCGATTCTTCTTCTGGACAAACCTTTTGGAAACGAAGCGGGTTGATTTTGTGTCGACTGGACGGCTCCGGGGATGTCCAGCGTCCTCCCTCCTCGTGCATGTCCCTTGGTGCCATCTGTGTGAGAGGGGGGCCGAGGCCGGCCTGACGCTCCTTTCCCCACAGCGCCGCCCGTCCTCATTAACGCCTCCCTGGACGCCTCCCAGAAGGAAGCGGTTTCGTTCGCGCTGTCCCAGAAGGAGCTCGCCATCATCCACGGGCCGCCCGGCACCGGGAAGACCACCACCGTGGTGGAGATCATCGTCCAGGCCGTGAAACAGGGCTGCAAGGTGGGCTGGTGACTCCAGGCCACGCCCGTCAGGACGCTCTTGGCGTTTACTGATGGAGGGTTGGTGGGCGCTTTTTGACCCCTGGCAGCCACGTGGGATGTGGGAGCATGCTCAGGAGCGCGGGCTGGGTCCCTGGGGAAGGCCCCCTGGCTCCCCGAGGCCGGAAGCCGTGGTCGTCAACCGGGCCACAGGCCATCGGCCCCGTAACCCGTATACCGCTGTCCTCGTGCCCCGAGTTCAGGCCCGTGCTGGGGGTGCGGGGATGCAGAGGGGACCGGGTCCCGTGGGCCGTGCGCCCGTCCCGACAGCTGTAGGTTCACACCTTGACGTCACCAGTGGTACACACTCCACCGTTCTCTCTTTGCCTGTGAAGCTTTCCGTCTGTTTTAGTGTGAACTTAAGCTTGTCACTGAAACAGAAGTGACCGACCTTGAGCGTGACCTCTGCTCCCGCAGGTGCTGTGCTGCGCGCCGTCCAACACTGCCGTGGACAACCTGCTGGAGCGCCTGGCCCGCTGCGGGCTGCGGGTGCTGCGCCTCGGCCATCCCGCCCGCCTCCTGGGCTCTGTCCAGCAGCACTGCCTCGACGAGGTCCTCGCACGGGGCGACAGCGCCCCGATCATCGCGGACATCAGGAGGGACATCTATCAGGCCCTCGTACGTATCTCTCAGCCGCTGGCGGCTCCACCTGGGCAGGCTTCTCAGGGACCTGCCACACTCCCCTGTCCCCTGGCCTCGTCCCCTTGTCCCCTGGCCTTGCTGACTGATGATTCCGAACGTCGGTGCCGCCCCCATTGGCGGAGACGTGGAGTCGGCAAGTCCCGGGGCTCAGCCGTCTCCAGGGTGGTTTCGTGAGCGGTGACAGAATGTCTCGAAGGAAACATCGCTCTCACGCACCCTTCACATCTGGTCACGTCTGGGTAACATCAGTAAGCAAAAAAATAAAATAATAAAGCCCGAAGATAAAAATCCAGAAAACGCTCAGCTCCCCCAGTGTTTTGGTCCGTTTTCCGTTATCCTTGTGGAAGAGCCGGTGGGCGACAGGGCGCTTTGAGATGGCGTTTTCTCGTGCAGCCCGGGACTCTTGAGGTCTTTGGTTCTCCAGTTCACACGCTGGTCCTAATTTCCTTAAATGCCCTGCCACGTGTGCCGTCAGCTCAGCCAGCCTCACGGCGTCACAGGGCCAGTGCCGCGAGTCAGCCTTTCCCGTGGGCCCGCAGAATAGCGGGATGGCACGGGGGCTGCCGTCGTGGGGCTGGCGGGCGTGCGGACAGGGTAAGCCCTTGTCACCCGAGGCGAAAGGCGATTGCATTTTCCTGTTCCTGTTTAAATCGACGCTTTCGGGATTGTCTTTTCTAAGCTTGGCACAGTAGGCCCCCCCTGCCCCCGCCCCGTCACTCCTGCCAGAGCCCTGTCCTCCGAAGCAGAAATCATAAGTCGGGAGGCCGGTTACGCGTAGTTTTGAGTGTAGAGTAAAATGGGGTTTAGGTAAGCGTTCTGTGGGCTGAAGGAAATTGTTTTAACCTGACAGTTGGGGTGTAACAGGTGGAGGCATCCTCTCCGTCTGTGAGCTGCTGAGACCACCTCCTGGGCTGGCCGCCGCGTCCCCTCCCCGGAGCCAGCCCAGTGACCATGGGGCGGGCCGGGCCAACCCCCGTCTCACCCGAGGTCTCAGTTAAACGCTGTCTGCCGAGAGCGCCCGACTTCCCTTTGCTGCCTCCCTCCGTGCGGGTGACGGTGGCCCTAAGGCCAGGCAGGATGTCAGGTGCTTAGTCACCGGTGTGTATCTGTTGCTCCTTTAAGAAATATTTTGGCTTTTTATTGCCGTTTAAGGACTTACTGAGGTGAACCAACTCCTTGTAAAAAAAGAAAAGCACTTCATGAATTAAAAAGAGCTAAATGAGTGCGAGGCTGTGTCAAAATAATGATTTTTTTTTTTTTTTTGCTTTTCTTTGCAGGTGAAAAACAAAAAGACCCAGGATAAGAGAGAGAGAAGTGACCTTCGAAATGAAGTCAAGCTGTTGAGGAAAGAGCTGAGGGAGAGGGAGGAGGCAGCCATGCTGCAGAGCCTCACGGCGGCCGACGCGGTCCTGGCAACAAACACGGGTGAGCAGGGCGGCGCCTCCCCCTCCCCCGCCCGGCTGGGCGGTGTCCCCGTGCCGGGCGGCTGTGCGGACTGGCCCTCGCCGTCGGGTCGAATTCACCAGCGCAGCCTCTGGGCCTGGGTTCCCTTCGTGGAGAGGGATTTGGCTGCAGGTGTAATTTCTCTCACTGAGAGGGGTGTTCAGGTTCTTTCTTCCCGAGTGAACGTCTGTCTTTGGAGGATTCATCCGTTCAGTCTGAGCTGCTGAACTGATAGGCGTAGAGTTGTCCCTGGTGCCCTCTCACGATTTCGAAGACAGGGAACAGGCTCGGGGCGGGCGGCTCGCCCAAGGCCCCGCTGCCGTCCGGAGAGTTGTGTGAAGCCAGGTCTTGCCTGCACTTGAACCCTCGCTGCCCGGCTCTGTGCTCCAGGACGGGGGAGCTGGGGAGTGTCGTGTTGTCAGACACGTGGAGGTTTTGTCTGTAGCAGGTGATTGTTCTGTGCGTCCAAGAAAACACCTCAGGGGAGAATTAATTAAATTCTAGATGCAGAAAATGATGAAGGAGCAGTATTTAGAAACGAGACAGCCTTCCAAGGACGTGGGCTCGCAGCCCCAAGGGGGCGGTGGATGTTGGTGATTGACACATTGGAGTGGCCCGTGGCTGGGGACACGCCCTTCACACTTGAACACAGGTGGGCAGGAGCCACAGATCTTTATTCTGAGCTGCGAGTTAATTACATACGGTGTTAATGCAGGACTGAATTATGAAACAGCGGGCTCTTCTGGCATGGTTATGACACAGCCAGTGCCTCGAACGGCTCATGGTCCCGATTTCCACCAGGCGCCTCCGACGACGGCCCCCTGAAGCTGCTGCCTGACAGCTACTTCGACATGGTGGTCATCGACGAGTGTTCCCAGGCCCTGGAAGCCAGCTGCTGGATCCCCCTGCTGAAGGCCAGAAAGTGCATCCTGGCCGGGGACCACAAGCAGCTGCCCCCCACCACGGTCTCTCACAAGTAAGAGCCCTCCTCCTGAGCGCCTGTCTTCGCCCGCATGCGCCAGCCCTGTTGGGTCCCTCGAGGTCCAGCCCCGAAGCCCCAGGCCCTGCAGGCGGCCCTGGACGTGCTGCCCTGTGCGTGTCTGAGTACAGCTCCTACCCCGCAGTCGCACCTGCTCGTTTACCCATCTGTCGCTCAGACTGTGACCTTGGGGGTGGGGGTCGTGTCGCGTGTGTCCTGCTGGCCTGAGAACCTGGCTGCGTGCTCAGTTGGTGGTGTCGCACTGAGCGCCCCCGATGGGTCAGGCAGCTGGTGCGCGTGCCCACGCTGTGTGCGTCCCACAATGGTCGTGTCTGCAGGCTGCGTCCACTGACCTCTGGGTTGCGTAGGCGCACCCGCGGGCCCCTCCGCATCCTGATCTGTTGGAGACACAGGGAAGGACTCAGCAAACGCAGCCCCGCCCACCGCAGGGACACTAGGACACAGCGCTCCGCATCCTGATCTGTTGGAGACACAGGGAAGGCCTCAGCAAACGCAGGGACACTAGGACACAGTGTTCCCTGGTGCGGTGGCCAAGCTCAGCCTCCACGGGGGCGTTGCTGCCACCCTCACTTCCCACCACTCCCCCGATCCCCGCCTGGCCCCGCTGGCCTCTGTCCTTGCCAACCCTGGCCTGGGCCGCTCCGTCCCTGCCCTCCCTTACTTACTTCTCTGCTCGGGTGCTCAGGTGCGCCCTTTGTGTGGTCTCCCGTGGCCACCCGTCTCGGTGGCTTCCCTGTCACTGTCAGGTCCTTCACTGTGGCTCACTCGGCACTTCCTGGCAGTCACGCGTGTTCCCTGCTTTATCCGCTTATCTTCCCAACCGGGATGCGAGTCCCGGAGGCCTGGGCCCGGGCCTGGCACAGGCTCTCCTCCAACGGACCGGCCTCTCACAAGCTGGCTCCGCGGCCCACGTCCAGGAGGGCACCGTAGAGGACAAGTCCCTGAGGTCACCTGCGCCATGGCCTCCCTTCCGCTTGCAGAAGAGGCTTGGTCCTCAGTTCCGTCGCTGTTTGAGACCAGTCTCTGCCGCACTGGGCGTGCGCGTCACGACTGACCTTGGGATGCGAGTCGTTTTCTGAGGCCCCAGAGAAGGGAGGTGCAGGGCAGCCTGTCGTGTGGGGCTTTACCCCAGGGGAGCGGGGCCCCGGAGCCGAGGGGCGTGCAGGTCAGGCTGCTGCAGAGAGACAGGCATCAGACGTGGTCCTCGAGAGTGAGAACGGGGCAGGGAGACCTCGGGATGGATGGGGGGCATGGGGCACGTGCGTCCGAGGGCCGTCCTGTGGGAGGCGTCCTCCCGGGGTTAGGGCGTCTGCTCGGGAGTCTGGAGGAGGAGGGCGCAGTGGGTGTTCATTCCGCGATTGTTCCATGAGCAGGTCCCCAAGGGAATTCTTAAAAGAGGGTTTTGTCTCCCAGGGAGGCTTTGTGTGGAGAAAGTTCAGCTCTGTGCCCTCAGGGAGCGGGGACCTTATCGTGTCCCTGGAGGAAGCAGGCAGTCTCGGGGGACATTGGGTGGAGTTGTGCTGGGCATTTCTGGGCCTGCGGCTGGGTCTGGTGGTCATGTCACGCCCCGTCCTTGGCGTGAAGTGTTTTTAGCAGAGATCTTTACTTAGAAAGCTTAACCACAGAGGTCTCGTAAGGCAGCAGAGGGAGGGCCCCGAAACAGGGTTAGGTCTTCGCCCATGGGTTCGGCGTTGTCACCTCGGAGGACACAGTGTGCCTTAGTAGTGTGAGGGGGCTCGGAGGCCAGGCCGCCTGCCTTGGCCCTGGCCCTGTGGCCCTGGCTGAGTGGCTGTGGGCTGGTGGTTTAAGCTCTCTGCGACTCGGCCCCTCACAGTAGCCTCGTAGGTCACGGTGGGGATCAGTGAGCAAGTGCACACCAGGCGCCATCGTCAGTGGACCTGGGGGTTTGCAGCTTGTCTGGATCAGCTTGCCGTTGCTGTGACAAAGTGCCACAGGCTTGAACACTGCAGATCTGTTACCGTACAGTCCTTAAGTCACACGCCCAGAGTCCGTCTCAGTGGGCGGTGGTCGCGGTGTGGGGAGGGCCACGTCCCCCCTGCAGGCTCCAGGGACAGGCCCCGCCTGCCTTTTTCAGCTTCCTTAACCTGTGCCCCCGTTCCCACCGCCCCCCTGCGCTTCTCCGGCCCCGTCCCCTGCTCCAGCCCTGCGCCTCCGCCTTGTGAGCGAGCACCGTGGTCATCCAGGACCAGCTCCCCATGTCAGACCCTTCACTTCGTCCCATCTGCCCAGTCCCTTTTGTCATGTGCTCGCAGGCCCCAGGGTTAGGACGCGGGCAGTTTTGGTGGCTGTTATTCAGTCGGCCACTCCCTTAACTTCAGCTCAGAACAGTGGGGGCCAGTCGGGTCCTGAGGTTTGAGGGCGGCTTTCCTCTGGCTTCCGGTCCCACGCCGGACGTGGGGACATAGGCTGTTGTTGTCTTGGGTGCAGGGCTGCGCTGGCGGGACTGTCGCTCAGCCTGATGGAGCGCCTGGCCGAGGCGTACGGCGCGGGCACGGTGCGGACGCTGACGGTGCAGTATCGCATGCACCAGGCCATCATGCAGTGGGCCTCGGAGGCCCTGTACCACGGGCAGCTCACGGCGCACCCCTCTGTGGCAGGGCACCTCCTGCGGTGAGTGACCGGCCTCCCCTGCTGGGTCCCTCTGTGCCCACTGAGCCCGTGTCACTGAGAGATTCGAGAGACAGTCGTCTCTAAGCCCGGGTTCTGGAAGGGAGAATGGCCTTGCCCCGGAGAGCCAGGGTGGGTGGCTGCAGTCTGTGTTGCCAGTGGCTGGGTGCCTGCTTTCCTGTGGGAGGTAGGGAGACGCGGGCTCTGTCTCCAGGGCCTCACGTGGGTCTCTGCCTTTGTGCAGGGACCTCCCGGGAGTGGCCGCCACGGAGGAGACGGGCATCCCCCTGCTGCTCGTGGACACGGCCGGCTGCGGGCTGTTGGAACAGGAGGGGGACGGTGACCAGTCCAAAGGGAACCCTGGTGAGCTTGCGGGGGGGCCAGCGTTTCTTGCCCAGTGGCCCTCTTGAAACGAACAGGTCCCTCCAAGTTGCCAGCTTTGGCGCGGAGTCGAGCTGCGTGGCGGGTGAAGCCCGGCACTGAGGAGCTGTGGGAGGTTCTGAGCCGGGGTCTCAAGGTCCCCGATGCTCAGGGAGAGCGCGGTGGCCGGGGCAGGGCTCTGGGTCCCGAGCAGAGTGGCCCAGTGCTGCCTGGCGTGGCCTCAGGAGGAGGTCCTTGCCCGGCCAACAGCACCAGTCTGCTCGGCCCTGCTCACACCGTGGCCCCCCTGCGGCCCAGCGCCTGTGTACTGCTCTGGCCAGCGGCCCTGCGCCGGCTGCTGAATCTGGTGGCCCTTGGCTCAGGTTACGGGCTCCCAGGATGCCGCCTCAGGCCGTGTGACATCGGCCTGGCCCGGTAGACAGAAGTGTCTGAAATGACAGGTGTGGGTGCTGGCGGTCAGCGCGGCGTCCCCGGTTTGCGTCCCTCCAGGTGAAGTGCGCCTCGTCGGTCTGCACGTCCAGGCCCTGGTGGACGCCGGTGTCCGGGCGAGTGACATTGCTGTCATCTCGCCGTACAACCTCCAGGTACGAGAGCCTCTGTCTCCGTGTGTGTCGCTGGGACTCAGCCACCCCGACGGGGCTGAAAGGGCCGGGGCGATTTCATTGCTGCTTCTGCCCAGTGACTCCAGGGTGGGGCTGACTGCATCACGACGGGACCCCGGGCTCTGATGATCTCAGCCAGAGCCGTCTGTCCGTCCGTCCACCCGCCTCCCTTGCTTGGCCACACCCCCGCCCCAGGTGTCCGCCGGCCTCCCTGTGCTGGCTTCGTTCTCAGGCCAGCTTTTCTGGTGGCCCTGGCAACCTCAGGCCGACATTGTCCTCACAGGCAGCCCCAGGGGCAGCCGGTCATTTTACGGCGTCTTCCACAAGGATCTCAGCTCTGACTCCTACTGGTCCGGCTCAGGCCGTCCCCATCCCTGAGCCAGTCGCCGTGGCAGGGACCTGGGGCCCTCGCCCATCTCTGGGGCCAGGCGGGCTCGGCTTTGTGGAACACCGTGACACCGTCGCACGGAGTGTGGGTGTGGGCAGCTTCCTGAAGGCAGATCCGGCGCCAGCTGTTCCCCGGAGGAGGGGGAGGTGACCACAGATGACTGCTCCTTCGCTTCCATTTCTAACGTTTTCCGTCAGCGTCCTTGTGCTCACGACAAGGCCCGCCTCCTTCCGTGGGAAAAAGCCCCCTGCTTTAAGGGGTGGTGGTCCGCAGACTGGCTGCCGCCCCGCCCTGGTCTGCAGGCCCCACACAGGGCTGTCAGGCGCTGTGGGGGTCACGTTTGTCGAGGGGCCTGTCGTGTTCCCTGTGAGACGGGCAATCGTGGGAGCTTCCTCCCTGTGAGGCTTCTGGGGGGCTTCCCGGGGTTCCTGGGGGTTCTGCAGCCTGAGGCCCCCGCTGAGTCGAAGAGCAGGTGTCATAGCCGCCTGGCTAGTGCTGAGGCCATGGCCTTGCTCGGTGTTTCAGGTGGACCTGCTGAGACAGAGCCTCTCTCACAAGCACCCCGAGCTGGAAATCAAGTCAGTCGATGGCTTCCAGGGACGTGAGAAGGAGGCCGTGGTGCTGTCCTTCGTCAGATCCAACAGGAAAGGTATGGGCGCTGCCAGGCCTAGGAGCCCGTTAGTTATTCAGGGAGCGGGCTGGATTCATGCTGGCGGCCGTGCTGGTCGCTGGGAGTGTGGCCACGGGGCACTGGCTCCGTCCTCCGTGAGCCGACCACGAGCGAAAGGGACAGTGGGTGAGGCGCGATGGGGCCGTGTAAGAACCCACTCGGGGTGTCACCAACGTCAGCGGCCTGGGGAAGGCATTCCCGGCACAGGGAATGGTGTGGAGACTTAGAGGCACACGTGTGAGCTTTTGGGGGGGTTGGTGGTGGGCCGGGAGCGAGGGGGGAGCCCGTTAGTTATTCAGGGAGCGGGCTGGATTCACGCTGGCGGCCGTGCTGGTCGCTGGGAGCGTGGCCACGGGGCACTGGCTCCGTCCTCCATGAGCCGACCACAAGCTAAAGGGACAGTGGGTGAGGTGCGATGGGGCCGTGTAGGAACCCACTCGGGGTGTCGCCAACGTCAGCGACCTGGGGAAGGCGTTCCCGGCACAGGGAGCGGTGTGGAGACTTAGAGGCACACCGTCCAGGCAGCCTGGACCCCCACAGCAGGTGGGGCCCTCCAAGCCCAGGGCTCGTCTCTGGCCTCAGGGCGTGGTTTCTGTGCCATGGGGCTTGTGGGTGTTCCACTGGATAAGACAATTGTACCCAGAAACAGTTCTAAGTTAAGGGGCTTTGTAAGGCGTTTCCGGTGGAAGGTTGAGAATGGGTAAGGAGGGAGGTGACCTGTGGTAGGAAGAGGAAGAGGCTGGGCCGTCCCCGAGCTCCCTGTGTGTCAGCTGCAGCCACATTCACGTCTCCCGGGCTGTCTCCGGGGCTGGCCTGAGGGTGGGGTTCGTACTTACTGGAAAGGGGCAGCAGCCTGACAGCTTCCCAAACCCAAGTCGGGGTCCGTGGGACCGCACCGAGAAGCAGTGGGAAGCCAGCAGGTGTCTGAGCAGCCTCGGCGTCACCACGGTGCCCCAGAGCAGGGAGTCAGGCGGTGCTGGGGCGATGGCGGGGGGCGGGCAGGAGGGCGATCGCGGAGCTGACCCTTCTTGGTCGTCGCTGATCAGGGCGGGGGGCTGGCTTCCTGCTCCTTGCCTCAGATCTGCCCCTCTGTGCTTTCCTCGTCGTTAGGTGAAGTCGGCTTCCTTGCCGAGGACCGGAGGATCAACGTGGCCGTCACGCGCGCTCGGCGTCACGTGGCTCTGGTCTGCGATTCTCGCACCGTCAGCAACCACGCCTTCCTGCAGACCCTGGTGGCCTACTTCACAGAGCACGCGGAAGTGCGCTCGGCCTTCGAGTACCTTGACGGCATCGTCCCCGAGAACTATTCCCATGGGGGTTCCCAGGGTCCGGGCTCTTCCGCGCCTGCCAGGAAGCCTGGAGGCGGGCCGCAGGAGGGAGCCGGGGCGGCCAGAGCCGCTGCCAGGCTGGCCCGGAGGACGGCGCACGGGAAGCCCTTGGGCTCTGAGGCCCGTTTGCAGCCCAGCCTTGGTGGGGGCAGCGCAGACGGGGCACAGGACAGAGACGGTGTAGACCACCTCCGGGCAGTGATTGCAGAGTTCGTGGCGAGTGAGCAGACGCAGCTGGAGTTTCCTGCCTCCCTGAACTCGCACGACAGGATGCGTGTCCACCAGCTCGCCGAGGAGCACGGGCTGAGACACAGCAGTGCCGGGGAGGGCAGGGCGAGGTACATCACGGTGAGCAAGAGGACCCCGCCTGGCACGCCGCCTCCCACAGGCGCCGCGGGCCAAGCCCGCCCCCAGCCTGAGCCCCCTAGCCCCGCGCAGACGGAGCCCCCCGTCAGCGGGCAAAGTGGCCGGGGCCAGCTGGACCCGAGGGCACTGCGCGCTCTGGAGAGGCCGCAGCCCCTGGAGAGGCCGCCGCGGACACGGGGCGGCCAGGAGCGGCCAGCCCAGGGCTCGGGGCTGCGGAAGCTGCCGGGAAAGAAGAAGAAGAAAGAAGCGAAAGGTAAGTCGGGCCGAGTGTGAGGGGCGCTGGCTTAGCGGCCCCTGACCTGGCGTCGGAGCCGCTTGGAGCCCGCCTGCCGCCCGGGAGCGAGGCCATCTTCCCGCCGGCACTGGTGCTGTCCGGACGCCACGGCTTGTGCCTTAGGGTTAGACGCTGAGACTGAGCCCCTGAGGGCGGTGACCGGTCTCCGTGACCCTGCAGTCCCGAGGGCCTGGAGGGGCCTCCGGGGACGGGAGGGACGGTCACAGACCTCGGCTGTGGCGCTCGTGCTCCCTCCGGCTCAGACTAGGACGCGCTCCACCGTTGCGTCCTGTGCGGTGCTGGCCGTCCTCTGGGGAGCCACGCGGGGCCCTGCGCTCTGTCCTCCTCTCCTGCTCTGTGACGGGGTCCCCCACACAGAGCTCGAGGACCTGGCGGTCCCAGCCTGCATTTTCTGGGGACTTTGGGGTGAGCCGTTTGCCTCGGCAAGACCACGGAGCGGCCACGTTGCCCTCTGTCCGTGCACACGCGTGGGCAGAGCCGCACAGGCATCATTCGCAGCTCCGGGAGCAGCCGCCCAGGGCCAGCTGCAGTCATCCTGCAGGGTGTGGCGAGCAGCCCTGGCGTCCAGGCTTCGTGCCGGTGAGCAGGACACACGTCGCTCGTCCTGCGGGCGTGGGCGTCGCGGCAGGAAGGAGACGTTACACTTTGTAAACCGCGCTGAGAACGTGGTGAACGCCGCAGGGGCAGGTGCCAGGAGGGAGTGAGCGGAGGCCCTGGCCGTCCTGGGAGAAGGCGTGTGGCGTGCGCGTTTGAGGACAGTGTTCTGGGGATGCTGTGACACTCAGCGTCTGAAGCGCCTCAAACGGCCACCTTCAGAATCCATCTCGCCTGTCCAGTCGGTTTGCAAACTCCGCGCCGCGGTCCCGGCAGCCAAGAAGCAGAGGCCGGCGTGGGCCGCCCCTGGGCCGCGGCCCGTGATGGGTGGAGGTCCTGTGGCACAGGCGGCCCGTTCTCGTGCTTACAGGATTCCGTTTGGGATTAGGGCCCTCTGCTCGGTCTCCGTGTGTCCCGAGGACGCTTGCCACTGCCCAGAGAGGGGGTGCCTGCGGTCCACACTTCGCCAGGCCGCCTCTGAGCCTCTTGGTACTGCTCTTGGGAGCGTCCGTGCTGTCCCTCCCCTGCCCCCAGGAGCCCGCTGAGCCGGAGTGTTGAGTGTGGTGTAGCTTGCTTAACCCTCTGTGCAGCCTCGTCTGCGGGGCGGGGGAGGGGGGCGCATCCCCATTGACAGGTAACTGACAAAGTAGTGCCTGCCCAGAAGGTTTGAAATGGCTTTTGTCAGCCGAGGCACTTGTAGGTGAGTGGGGGCTCTGGGAGACCCGGAGTGGTGTCAAGAGTTGTCCCCCACCATGTTGACCATTCTGACGCACGTGTCCGGCACTGCAGTGTACTCATGACAGAGCATAACGGGAACGGTGGCGCCAGCACACTCCGCCTGTGCCAGTACCCAGGTCATCGACACCAGCTTCCTGGCTCATGCCTCCCTGTTACTTCCTGTGCGCTCTGTCTCTACTGTGTTATATGCAACAACTGCATGTTACAATCACAGTTATGGGTAACTTTATGTCTCTTTCCCACCCACGAACCTTTTCCTGTAACTGTAGAAGGTTCCCACGCATGGGGTTGCGGTCCTCCAGCGCTCTGCGCGGAGGCTCATCTGACTGTCGCCCCAGTGTGGTATTTTGCTTTTGCGGTTAATGTGTTAGGGCTTGGACTTTTCAGAGGCGCTCCACACGCCACTAGCCCCTCTAGGAGGGCCGTGTGCTCACGCCTGCCCCGGGGACTGGTCATTGTGCTGAGAGGGATGCGCACACTGGTCGTGACCCTGGAAGCGGGAAGCCGGAGGCCAGCGCGGGCTCAGCGGGAGGCTTCTCTGCTGACTTCGTTGTTCTTCCCTTCGAGAGACACTTTCTCCCCTAGGACCTGTGGCCTCAGACCTGCCCCCCGAGGAGGACTTCGACGCCCTGGTCTCGGCAGTTGTCAAGGCCGATAACACCTGTGGTCTTGCGAAGTGTGCGGCCAGCGTGGTGACTCTGGGCCAGCTCTGCCAGCACTGTGGCCGCCGGTACTGCCTCAGCCACCACCTGCCCGAGGTAGGCCGGTGCCCCAGGGCTCGGGTGGCAGGTGGTTTCCAGGGCCCGGGTCCTGGGCAGACGCAGGTCCTGGGCAGATGCGCTGCCAACGTGAACATAGCTGGTTGTGAGCGCTGAGTACCTTAAAACAGACAGTGGTTGGTTTTGAATGCGTTAGGGCTGAGGCGAGCGTTGGGGTGAGGGGCAGGGTGTGGGTTCTCCAGCCTTCCCCGGGGAGCCTGCTGGCGAAGGACCCACATGCGGTGTGGGTTCTCCAGCCTTCCCCGGGGAGCCTGCTGAAGGACCCACATGCAGGAAGAGGAGGGGCCCCTGAGAGCTCAGGCTGGGCCTTCCCGGTCCCCGAGCCGTGGCAGGCAGAACTGCAGGGCCCTGTCCGCACCCGGCCCAGCTCTGACTCGTGTCCCCAGGTCCATGGCTGTGGGGAGAGGGCTCGTGCCCACGCCCGGCAGAGAATCAGCCGGGAAGGGGTCCTGTACGCCGGCAGCGGGGCCAAGGACAGGTCCCTGGACCCAGCCAAGAGGGCCCAGCTCCAGAGAAGGCTGGATAAGAAGCTGGACGAGCTGACCAGCCAGAGGAAGAGCAGAAGGCAGGGGAAGGAGCAGTGACGGCCGGGCCTCCACACGCGCTCGTCTGAGCACGCGGTGAGCGCGGGCTGCGCTGTCCCTGGGTGCTTTCTGTTCTTGTGGCTGCCGCTGGTGACAGTGCGCGACCAAACCCACGCTTCTCCACCAGGGCTGGGTGGGGCGAGGGGCCCGTGGCAGGAAGGGTCGGCTTTTGGACCCCGGCGACAAGCCTCTCCGAGATGGCAGACAGAGCGCCAGGGCCCAGGCAGCGCCCGTCAGCCTCCACCCCTCCACCCGGCGTGCTGTGGGCTGGGCCGGGAGCGCCGCGTCCCCTCGTCCACTTGCTCGTCCCCGCCCGGGGCCGGGTCCCAGTCCCTTCCTTCCCTCCCGGTCAAAGCCGAAATTTCAGCATTTGAACTTGGGGTGCTGCCGTGAGGTGCAGGAGCCCTCTCTTCCCCTGGAGCTGTGCGCGAGTGCATCCCCGCTGTCCGGCCCGGCCAGCTTTCAGAAAACCCATGAACATGCCCAGAGATGGCGTCTACGTGTGCCCGTGGCCGGCTCGCCCTGCGTTGGGCTGCGACCTCACCGAGGCTGCTTCTGTCCGTCTTCTGTTCCCTGGTAGCTGTGGAGACCCCACCCTGACGCCCCTGGCCGCTCCTGGCTCCCGGGAGGTCCGGGGTCATGCCTGGCTGTGGTTCCCGACGGCGCCCTGGCCCGTGCCAGCCCTTCCTCGGTCTGCGGTTGGGGACAGGGGCGATGGCTGTTCCCCGAGTCTCGGCATCGCTGACCTGCGCAAATGCAGAGCTCTCACAGGTGTCTCCCATGTGCTTTGCCAACTGTTTCATTCAAGAGAACCTCAGATGATGTATTATTTTAGCCTCAGGGTTTTGTTTCAAAGAGAGATAAATTATTTAAAAATTAAATAAAAAATGCGTGCACAGTGTGTCGTGTGTCTAAAACAAGCCTCTTCCCCCTCTTTTGCTGACTTTCCTGAGGTGGTTGAGGACGCAGGATGAGACACGTGCTCAGCACTCAGGCATCCAGGGCGTTCGTGGGGCTGAGAGGCGGGCGCACGGCCGCTGCCGGATGGTCCCGTCCTGGGAGCAGATGCCGAGCGGGGGCGCTTCCTGCTTCGCTGGACTTCACCGCCTGGACTGCCAGGCCGAAACTGGAAGGCTTGGGGGAAGGCTTAGAGGCCTCTGGAGCCTGGGGAGGGAGGGAGGCGGGCTCGGTGGGAGGGTGCCGGTCGGGGCCTGGGGGTCTGGGGGTCGGCTGCCCTCGCTCCGTCTCCCCCCACCATCGGCCTGAGGTGGGACCCAGCCCCTCTCGCTGTCCACGCCCACCGACCCCTCGTGCCCCGCAGCCCCCGGAGTGGGCTCCAGGGCGTCCGGGCTTCGGGCCCCGTCTCCGCCGGGAGCCTCGTGCGTTCCGTCGTGCCGCCGGTCCCCAGACGCTGCTGGCGCAGCAGTCGCGTGTCCTCCGTGCCAGGCCCGCACACTTCCACCACGCTGCTGCCGCCGGTGCCGGGCCACCCTCTCGTGGGGACGCCGTCCCCGCCCAGGCCTGGCGTCCACTCTGTGCCTCCGTGCTCCCCCCGTCCTCCTTGCTCGGACACGTCCTGGCTTGCCCCGTCAAGTGACTCGAGGCCTGAATTGTTGAGGACGGGGCGGGGGCAGGGACCCCGTGGCCTTGCGTGTGAAGCGCCACACGGGAAGGGCCCGGGCAGCGACGTGTGCAGGCACAGAGGGCGGGCTGCGTGCAGCAGGGCCCAGGGCGTCGCCAACGGTCGGTCAGCTGCGGTTCCTGCTCCTTCAGGGACCCGTGGCCACGGCAGAGGGGTTGGCAGATGATGGCAGCGCAGCTCAGCGTCTGCGTTCGAGGTGTCGTCTCGCAGTTCTGGGGTGCCCGGTGGCTGCTGTCTGCCTGCCGAGCTGCTTGCTTCATCTCCGTCTCTGGTCACAAGCCCCTGGCGACAGGCAGCCTGTGTGCCCTCGGCAGGGGCAGTCAGGGAGCCACACTCGCTTGGCCACAGCAAGGCCGGGCATAGGCATGGCCAGAATCCAAGCAGGGCCCATCAGCATTCCCCACTGGGGTCCCTGCAGAGATGCTAGAAGGAGATGCTGGCTCTCCCACTGGGCGGGCACAGCTGCCCTCCCTGCCTTCTAGAAGAAGCCAGCCTGCGAGAGAGAGAGACCAGCACAGAAACAGCCAGAATGGGCCTGGGAGAATCCCCAGATCGCATCATGTGAGCCCCTGGATCTGGCCACACCTGACCTCCACCCCGCCGCCCCAGTGTCCTGAACTAATAATTCCCCCTTTTTAGCTGAAGAGCCTCTGCCTTGGGTTTCTGCCTTGGCAGCTAAAAGGGTCTTGGCTGGTCCAGTTGTACCCGCATCTGTCTATCTCATTGGGTATGCCCGGTCCCAGCACGGAGGCGGTGCCCGCTCAGTGTCCCCTCCCTGTTAGAGAAAGGGCAGGCCCTTCCTTCATCCCCGTGCTCTTCCCGTGGGCCCTTCTGCCTGGAAGAGCTCCAAGTGCTGGAAGGAAGGCAATACAGCGTGGGCTGGGGTGATGGAAGCATCTAGAACTGAATGCTGGCTCTGTGGGATGTGGCTTTAGCAGGTCCCTTCCCCATGCTGAGCCTGTCTGCTCATCTGTAACGGGCACGGGAACAGCGTCCACCTGGCCGGCAGCGCTGAGAAGCCCACGGAACGAGCAGCGGGGAGCGTGGTGTGCTGGCGAGGCCTGGGTCTGGGTTGGAGGGCTCCATGGCGGCGCCTGGCACAGTGTTTGCCCACCTGCCCCGGCGTGGAGCGTTCACCCCTCCACCACTGACCACGGCAGCCAGTTTTGACGCATCGTTAAAATATCAGCTAACCATGGCAACACCGAAAGTTTCCATTTATTCTCCAGAGAAGCCTTGTTAGGAAAATGTTTGTAGCTGGTTGTTTGAAAAACGCCTACAGTTTGGCCTGGATGGGGAACCCCAAAAAAAGGAAAAAGACGTCCCAAGCCACACGTCTTCCCGTCAGCAGGGGTGGTCGCCGGTGACCTGCAGGCTGCAGCCCCC